CCCCCCGTGTTTCCTGAAGCAGAGAAATGTGCTGACACACAGCTGCATCAGGAGCAGGAAAACCTATGTGCTTTGATCTGACACCAGACAAAGATCTCCATGCAGACCCCCGTAGACCCTCAGGTGTAGATGTGGGCCAGGCTAGTCTCAACAGACCCATGTGGACACTGTGAGCTCAGATCAGTACCATGGTCTCAGACCAGAGCTGTGGTTTGGACCCCATAGATCTGGTCCTGTCTGAGCTGCTTGAAAAGCAGGAAACCAGAATCTGCTTTGTTTCAACAACTTTCTGCTCCATCATCAAACTGCTGATAAGACCGAGTCATCCTGCTGACTCTGGAACCACGAGGATCCATCTGTCCTCTGCAGGGACGACACAGGACAGAAACTGTCCTCACAACATAAAAACTGTCCACATAAGACAGATACTGTCCTCTCAACAAGACAAAACCTGGATTCCTGCAGGACATCAGAGTCCTGCTGAGTGGACCAGGGATCTGGACTTGTTTAGTCCTTGATTCTCCTTCAGGGGTCTCTCAGCTGGATCCTGAAGTCCTGTAGACCCAGGAGGCTCAGTTTCTGTCTCTGAAGACAGTTAGTCCAACGAAAACCAGAAACAAAAACCACAAGGACTCCAGAGACAAAGCTTGAAGAGAGTATTAAAACATTTAGTTATTACATTTAAATAAACCTTTATTAACATGTTATAAACAAGTTATTATCAAGTTATTAACATGTTATAAACAAGTTATTAACAAGTTATCAACATGTTATTAACAAGTTATTAACAAGTTATTAACAAGTTATTAACAAGTTATAAACAAGTTATTAACAAGTTATAAACAAGTTATTAACAAGTTATCAACATGTTATAAACAAGTTATTAACAAGTTATTAACTGTTATTAACATGTTATAAACATGTTATAAACAAGTTATTAACAAGTTATTAACATGTTATTCACATGTTATAAACAAGTTAACATGTTAATAACATGTTATTGCCTTTTACTTGTGTCCAGAAGAACGAAAAGATTCAAATCAGTTTGTCCACAAATGTCCAGTATTCTCCTGTCCCTCACTTTGTATCTTTAAATAGAAAACTGTCCTTCAGGTGTGTCCAGGTGTGTCCAGGTGTGTGGTCACTTACAGGTGTGTCCTTCAGTGTGTCTCCAGGTGTGTGGTCACCTCAGGTGTGTCTCCAGGTGTGTGGTCACCTCAGGTGTGTCTCCAGGTGTGTCTCCTGGTGTGTCTCCAGGTGTGTCTCCAGGTGTGTGGTCACCTTAGGTGTGTCTCCAGGTGTGTCTCCAGGTATGTGGTCACCTCAGGTGTGTCTCCTGGTGTGTCTCCAGGTGTTTGGTCACCTCAGGTGTGTCCTTCAGTGTGTCTCCAGGTGTGTGGTCACCTCAGGTGTGTCTCCAGGTGTGTGGTCACCTCAGGTGTGTCTCCAGGTGTGTGGTCACCTCAGGTGTGTCTCCAGGTGTGTGGTCACTTACAGGTGTCTCCAGGTGTGTGGTCACTTACAGGTGTCTCCAGGTGTGTGGTCACCTTCAGGTGTGTCTCCAGGTGTGTGGTCAGTTACAGGTGTGTCTCCAGGTGTGTGGTCAGTTACAGGTGTGTCTCCTGGTGTGTGGTCAGTTACAGGTGCATCTCCAGGTGTGTGGTCAGTTACAGGTGTGTCTCCAGGTATGTGGTCACTTACAGGTGTGTCTCCAGGTGTGTGGTCACTTACAGGTGTGTCTCCAGGTGTGTGGTCACTTACAGGTGTGCGTGTCGTTCATGCTTTCGCAGCGCCTGCAGTGGACGTAGCAGCACCAGATGAACTTGCACTCACAGCGTTGGACGTGTCTCTCCAGGTGTGTGTTGTAACCACGGCCGCAGCACAGCAGGTTGCAGCTGTCCGGACCACCGGACGTCCTGTTGCAGCGACGCCCCCTGGTGCCGGCCACGCCCCGCAGGGGGTCCTCCATGCAGTAGTTGGGAGACCTGTTCAGGTAAATGAGCTGGTGTTTGTCCACCGCGTGTCGTCGGTCCTTCCTCCTCGTCTTCCTCCTGGACTGGTCTGACACCTGGACGCTGTTCTCATATCGATCCTTCAGGTACGCCCCCACCTCTCTGAAGGGAGCCATCGTCTTCCAGCAGGTCTTCACGGTGCAGGACCCAGAGACACCGTGACAGCGACACTCTGTGGACATGGTCTTCTCAACAGCCTGCAGGACAGACAGGAAGAGGGTCTGTCTCACTGAGATCCAACAAAGTAGAAAAACCCAAGACCAGACCAGACCAGAGACTGACCTCGACCAGACCAGACCAGAGACTGACCTCGACCAGACCAGACCAGACCAGAGACTGACCTCGACCAGACCAGACCAGAGACTGACCTCGACCAGACCAGACCAGACCAGAG